ACGCGGGATCTGTGACGAGCAACACCTGGCCGGAGAGCTGCAACATGTCAAGCAAGTTCTGCGAGACAACAAGCTGCAAGTGCCGCGCCTACGTCACAGGGACCGAGTGAAACCAGCCACAGTCGAGCGCGTCCCTGCAGTCCTACCTTACATGAGAGGCGTCACTGACAAGATTGGCTACATTCTAAAGCGAGCTTCAATTAAAACTTACTTCAAGCCGCCAAAGAAAATTAGTCAGTTTCTACCACCTGTCAAGTGCCACATCCCTCTACAAGATGCAGGAGTTTACAAGCTTGATTGTGATTGTGGGCTCTCTTACATCGGACAAACAAAGAGATCCATTAGAACCCGGGTCAAAGAACACATAGCTGATGTGAAGCACCGTCGCAATACAACATCTGCTGTCTGCAAACATAGTCAGGACCGCCCAAGCCATTATATTCGCTTCGATAGACCTCAAATCCTGGCGAAAGAAAACCGATATCGCCCTAGAATGATTCGAGAAGCCATAGAAATTAAAAAACATCCTAATTTCAATAGGGAAGATGGCTGGGTACTACCATCGTCATGGGATCCTGTTATTAATATAATAAAATCAAATAATAAATATAAACATAACAGACAGGCAGATGTAGTAAGTTCATACTGTGTAGATCAAAATGACAGCTTATCAGACTAATATTTTTCATTTTTCATTTGTAAAAGTATATATTAATAGTGTTGCTTAGTAAGTTGTTTTTTAAATAATAGCAAACTAAATTAAAATTATTATCCTTAATTAATTTTAACTTTTTAAATTACACATAGAACAATTATATGGCTTTAATAATTAATACTACATTTTATATTTTTCTTTATGGTTATAAATATAATAATGGCAACACTAAATATAGATTACTAATTAATATTTTAAAATTGTAATAATTATAAAAAATAATAGCAAAATTAAATAAATAATTTTCCATATTCAATTATAATTAAAATTATAAAAATGTTTAAAGTTAAAAAATATTGTAATGTAATTGGTGCAATTTTCATTTTGTTAATTGTGGGTAGGCTGTCTGTAACAACTATACATTCAAGACATGTAACACCTCAGTCTCTCCCGTGACCATGGATGCTGTAAAGCATTCGAAACGTCGGGAAACAAAAATCCAAATAAATCCGCGACAAAATCCGAAAAGATAGTTTTATTTAAAATGTCAAATATTCGCGTAAATCTAAGAAAGTATTATGTGAACCAGTACGGACTGGAAATCGCAAACCAAATACGCCGGTTAGAAGATCTGAAGACAAAGCGCGCAAGATTATTAACATCTTTAACATTCTTGAAGAGATGTCGGGATCATCGTCTCATTCCTACGTGTGTGAAAATATCATCTAAAAAGAACATACGGGGAAGCGCCAAGATCGTTAACAAGGCAAGTTTTAAGTTGTTACGGACGGTGATTCGTCAAACCCGCCGTGATCTACGCAGTAACGACCGGTACGTAGAACAAACGTCCCTTAATATAAAGACAGTATTGACACCAAGTGATTTCAATGATTGCATTGAAACTTTAAATAAGCGCGAAACATCTAAATTTAACCAATGCAAAAACAAACATATATTAAAATACCAAAAATTAGTCGAGAAATATAACATCAAAAAGAAAATCAAAAACAATAACGGAACGCGCCCGTCTACCACAGTTTCAAATTCGTGCGTACGTCAAGCAGTTGTCAATCTGTCAAAACAAACATTGGACGAATCTACTATTCAAGTACTAAGTAAAGGCTTAAATTTTGCTGTTGCGCCGACACGCATCCCTTATGAGAACATTATTTGTGCGGTTGAAGATGCCCTGGCCAAAAATACTATGAAATCTGAGGATATGGAGGCCATACGTCAAGATGTTTCATCTTTGTTACGTCGTAGTTCAAGGCCCAAACCTAATCTCAATAAACAACAGTATTTAGCGTTGAAGAACTTACGCAGCAGGTCAGACATTATCATACTACGCGCAGACAAGGGAAATGCCACCGTCGTGATGGATACATCAGATTACAATGAGAAAATTAAACAACTTTTGTCGGATGAAAGTACATATAAAAAGGTCAAAACAGACCCAACCACCACTGTGTTAAATAATACTAAAAAGCTGATTAAGAAACACTCCGATGCATTGAATCTTGATGTCAAAAATCTTGTTCCATCTTGTGCAAAGCCGCCTAAACTGTATGGACTTCCAAAGATACACAAACCTAACGCTCCGCTACGTCCAATTGTGAGTCAAATCGACACACCGACTTATAAATTGGCCCAACTAGTAGCGAAAGTACTCTCAACACTCAGAGGACAAACATCAGCGTTCACAAGGGACTCGTACCATTTTGTCAATGAGATAAAACACCTACAACTCATGGACAATGAAACTATGGTCAGTTTTGATGTACAGTCTCTATTCACTAGCCTACCAGTAGAGGACTGTGTCAAAATAGTATCAAGAAAGCTACGGGATAATATTATGCAAGAAGAATACACTGAACTTTTGAAACACTGCCTTACATCTGGCTATCTATTGTGGAATGATGAATTCTACAAGCAAGTGGATGGAGTGGCCATGGGTTCGCCGGTCTCTCCCGTTGTAGCTGACATCTTCATGGAGGCCTTCGAGGAGACCGCCCTAAACACATCACCTGTGACCCCTCGTTTCTACAAGCGGTATGTAGATGACACTTTCACAATATTACCATCTGATAAAATATCTGTATTCTTAGAACATCTTAACTCCATAAACCCTAAAATACAATTTACAATGGAATTGGAGTCTAATAATTCTTTAGCTTTCTTAGATGTATTAGTTATACGTAACCCAGATAACACCTTAAGTCATACTGTGTATCGAAAGAAGACCCATACTGATAGGTACTTGAATGGTGAATCTCACCACCACCCTTCACAGTTAGCTACCGTGGGAAAATCTTTGTTTCAGAGGGCACGCGGGATCTGTGACGAGCAACACCTGGCCGGAGAGCTGCAACATGTCAAGCAAGTTCTGCGAGACAACAAGCTGCAAGTGCCGCGCCTACGTCACAGGGACCGAGTGAAACCAGCCACAGTCGAGCGCGTCCCTGCAGTCCTACCTTACATGAGAGGCGTCACTGACAAGATTGGCTACATTCTAAAGCGAGCTTCAATTAAAACTTACTTCAAGCCGCCAAAGAAAATTAGTCAGTTTCTACCACCTGTCAAGTGCCACATCCCTCTACAAGATGCAGGAGTTTACAAGCTTGATTGTGATTGTGGGCTCTCTTACATCGGACAAACAAAGAGATCCATTAGAACCCGGGTCAAAGAACACATAGCTGATGTGAAGCACCGTCGCAATACAACATCTGCTGTCTGCAAACATAGTCAGGACCGCCCAAGCCATTATATTCGCTTCGATAGACCTCAAATCCTGGCGAAAGAAAACCGATATCGCCCTAGAATGATTCGAGAAGCCATAGAAATTAAAAAACATCCTAATTTCAATAGGGAAGATGGCTGGGTACTACCATCGTCATGGGATCCTGTTATTAATATAATAAAATCAAATAATAAATATAAACATAACAGACAGGCAGATGTAGTAAGTTCATACTGTGTAGATCAAAATGACAGCTTATCAGACTAATATTTTTCATTTTTCATTTGTAAAAGTATATATTAATAGTGTTGCTTAGTAAGTTGTTTTTTAAATAATAGCAAACTAAATTAAAATTATTATCCTTAATTAATTTTAACTTTTTAAATTACACATAGAACAATTATATGGCTTTAATAATTAATACTACATTTTATATTTTTCTTTATGGTTATAAATATAATAATGGCAACACTAAATATAGATTACTAATTAATATTTTAAAATTGTAATAATTATAAAAAAATAATAGCAAAATTAAATAAATAATTTTCCATATTCAATTATAATTAAAATTATAAAAATGTTTAAAGTTAAAAAATATTGTAATGTAATTGGTGCAATTTTCATTTTGTTAATTGTGGGTAGGCTGTCTGTAACAACTATACATTCAAGACATGTAACACCTCAGTCTCTCCCGTGACCATGGATGCTGTAAAGCATTCGAAACGTCGGGAAACAAAAATCCAAATAAATCCGCGACAAAATCCGAAAAGATAGTTTTATTTAAAATGTCAAATATTCGCGTAAATCTAAGAAAGTATTACAAATACGCCTGTTTTCTGGTGACATGTTTAGTTTGTAAGGAATATGTTAGGGATAAATGGGAAACCGTGTCACCAGGTAAAGATAAAGGTAAGCCGTTCATGGACCTGTAATAAAGTTAGAGTATAAACTATATGGCATTTATGTACATAAAATAGTTTAGCAAAATTAATTTGTACAAAAAAGATTTACATGATTTTTTTGTTAAAACTGTACATATTTGTGAATTTCAATATTAATCTTTTAAATTTTTGTTGCTTTTTCTATTTGTGTTTCTTCAGAAGTGTTACGTACTATATCAGAGCCCTTGTCATAACAGCTTATCGGTTAAATAGTATTAAAATGTATGCGTTAAACACAGACAAATTTACAATATTTTTCTATATATATTTTTTAATTTACTTATCATAACCAAAATACTGTCAATATATAACAAATGATTACATGTTTGAAACTAAACTAAAACAAAGCTTACAGTTAAAATGCTAGTAGGAAGCAGTACCAAATTTGCACTCGTAAATTATCGTTTTTAGCTCAAGATATCCCTTTCGAGGTATCTCACCGTAGTTATCGTTATTGTTTTATTTTATTTATTTTAAAAAGTTATAATTTTCAGTCAGGTGTTATAATGTTTATTTAATTTCAATAAAATACACCAAACTCAAGAACCTACATAATAAACCAACAATTAATTACTTTAAAATGACTTTATAAGTGAAAATGTGCAACAGTTAAAAAGTTAAACAGTGTTAACGTTTAGTTATGGTGTAATAAATAGAAGCTGTGATGGTGCGTCTTCAAGTGTGGTCATGGTTGTTACCACTATTATTATTATATACTTTGGAAGGAGGTACGTATATATTGTATACTATTATATTATTATCTATATGTTCATGTTCAAACAGAAAAAATATATTAATTATCTATTGCTTATCTAACTGAAAAATTGTAATAAAAAAATTTTTTCGGCGGGTTATTGTTCATTTATCTATCAGTAAGCCCCTGATTTTTTTAATTTCTTAATTATTTTATTAAATATGTTAATGGCCCTACGGTTCCGGGAGTTGGGATTTTATTCAGGAAATTTCCTCGTCTTTTTTAATCTTTTTCTAGATTTGAAAAATCCTAACTAGTTTTTAGATATTTGCAAAAAAACTAAACCCTTTTTTTTACTTAATTGTTTATAACTTTTGCAATTTTTGTAAGCGGAACTTGATTTTTTTAAACATCTACATGCCGTTCCAAATCGAATGACACTAAACTACTTTCTTCTTACTTTGCCACTACTATGTCTATACTAGAAATTGGAAAAAAAATAAAAAAAATCGGTGCCAGCCGATAGAAATCAAAGCACACCAACTTCGAAAATATCTGATTCGGTATCTATAGAAAATGAAAACTACTAATCAGTTATTTTTTACTTTTTAGTGTTTTTTTTTAAGTTGGTTTTCTTAAGTTTTTAATATGCAAGTTTTGTATATTATTGTAATGACCTCTTAAAAATATTTTTAAACATTGACATAGTAGAGCATTTGCATAGTAGTAAGATATTAAGTAGATAATTGTATTATAATTAATGTATTTGATTGATATTTGGCAACTCAATATGCTCGAGGTTTCTAATCATTATTCAATATTCACTATCAAAAACATCAGAACGAAGTGGTGATGATTATGTATGCATTTTAACCATATCAAGTAAAGAAAGTGACAATTGGTGCGTAATTTGTGCTTTTTCTATCACGCTAATCTCAATCTCTTAATAGTAAACAAGCTAAATCATTGATTTAGCTTGTTTACTATTAAGATTCGCTTAAGTTACCTAATAAAAAAAAATTAAGTTTTTTTTAAGTATTACATTTAAAATACCTCTTGTTCTAGCGAATTCATCAACACCCAAGCCAAACCACTTCTTACAATGACATATCAATTAGTTAGTCTAAAAGTATACGTAGTTATCGAAGGGTTCGAAGATCAAACGGAAGGTATTTTAATTAAAAATTATCCAGACGAAGCTCGGGGAAGTTTACTAGTAAGCTATAAATTGCTTACGTTCCGAAATAATTGAGTGGGAGCAGGTACTCATTTACATTTTATTTTGGTAGGCAATTCAATCCGTTATGAACGAACGATTGAAATTAATTGGGACTTGAAATAATTTCACTTATTGTAAAAGATATTCAGTTCGTGTATTAAATAGTGTAATAAGATCAAATTATTTTAGAGTTTTAAATGCATGTACCCAATAATCGTAATCATTTTTAAATTAAATAAAAAATTAAAATGTTGATGAATTTTAGTGATCACTTTAAGGTATATGCTGTGTTGTAAGAAAATAATAATTTTCAATGCAATAATTAACTAAAAGAACATTAGAATTTTAACGGCGTTTACTTGTCATTCATATTTCATTTATTTATAAAATCATATTTCTACTCAACTATGCGATTTTTCATTACATAGAAAGTTAACTTACGAGTAGTGCCATATGAAATTATACATAACTCTTAATAGAGTTTAGTGTTTGCTTTAAATTATCATTAATTCTACAGGAAATAAGATTCAAAATGGTATTTTGCTTTAGAAGTACAAACTTACCTACTAACTTACCGAAAAGGAAAGATTTCTTTACCTGTCACTTGCACCGAGCTCAGTCGACCATAATACTTCTATCGCTATCGACTGACAAAATAGATATAGCAGATACTAAGTGCAAGGCTGGCTACAGTTTTATATTGAGACTAGGGAGTCACCTTCGCTCCGCTCGGGCTTGTCCCTAATTACGTTTTAACGTTTAGTATAGATTTCTCAGAGATGAGACATTTTCCCTCAGTAAAAAGTATCCTATATCTTGACGCGGATAACCAGCTATCATCATACTAAATTTCATCAAAATTTGTCCAGTGGTTTTCTTGTGATGCGTTCCCAGACAGACAGACAGACAGACATACAGACAGACAGACAATAATTCTAAAAATAAAGTCATTTGGTTTGTTAAGTCATTTAGTTTGTGTATAAATCCAAGTAAGTCACAAGTAGCGGTATTTGGCAATTCAAAACAGTTATCTAAGATACACTTTCATCTCCTCCCTCCAATTTCATTTAATAAGGTTCGTTTAGAATACAGTAGTAGTGTAAAAAATCTGGGAATCATAATGGATAGCACCTTCTCTTGGACACCTCAAATTGCTCAACTTAGCCGTAAGATATACTTTGCTATTGGCACTTTAAGAAGGTGGAAAAACCTGCTGCCAGTGAAAACTAAAATTTCCTTAGCTCATTCCCTTCTGTTACCGATACTTGATTATGCCGACTCCTGCTACTTAGATCTATCTCAACAACTACTCAATAAACTCGAGCGCCTTCAAAATCTCATAATAAGATTTATTTTTGGACTAAGGAAGTATGATCACATCACACAGTATCGGACACAACTGAAATGGCTCACTGTACACAATCGACGTAACTTACACTCACTTTCTCTTCTATACACTGTCCTCTTCCATCCTAATACTCCTGCCTACCTCAAAGAACGTATTTCATTCCTAGGTGATAGTTCCCAGCACGCTCAACAACTTCGCTCCCGCAATGAAAGGTTACTCGAAATCCCACTAAGCCATTCCAAATCTTATGGTGAGTCTTTCACCATTAAAACTGTAAGACTTTGGAATGAGCTTCCAATTGAAATAAGAATGTCAAAGTCGGTGAGCATATTTAAAAAACGTCTCAAAAGACACTATCTATCACAGTAGGATATTCTGTCATTAGTGCCGTACTATGTAATTTGTTTATGCATATATATTTATATATAGACATTATTTTATTATTATGTATATGTATGTTATGTATATATAATAAAAATATATATGGTAAAACTAATATTTTATATATGTAAATTTTTATGTATGTTTATTTATATTAAGTTTTAATGATTTGCACTTTATGCACCTTTCCGCTCACTTATTTTCTTATATCCTTTACTATCGGTTGCCTGTAAGAGATCACTTTTAGTGATAAGGCCGCCTTTGCACATCTCTTTAATTGTATAATATTTTTTTTATGTTAATGTACTATTTTCTTGTGCAATAAAGTGTTATAATAATAATAATAAAATATATATTTGTGCTCTATATCGATAATAATGACTATTTCAGTAAGATTTTCCAAAAAACGTTTAATCTATAGATTCGACTCAGAATTTTATTATATGTATAGAAAATTACGATTATTTGTACAATTGTATAAAACAGGATACGAAAAATTCAATATAAAAGTTAAAAAAAACTTAAATTGATTACTCCTAAACGTTTTTGTTATTAGCTTTTAGACTTCTCCTTAACGTATTACACATGTTGTCCATTTAAGTATCATATCTATCATATCATTAAAATTTAGTAAATTCAGTAAATTTATTTTTCCTACAAATATTAAAATAAATTATAATATTTCGTTATGGAGCTTTTTAAAATTGATTATTTCATCTTAGGAGTAAATAATGTCTCTGCGTTTTGATAAATTATCAGCTGTGCCAAGTGGTACTTCATCAAACTGTTATGCAACGTTTAATCTTGGAAGCACTTGGCATATTGCTGTAAACTAGCCTTTCCTTGTGACTTTGTATACAAACTCAGTGAATACATTCTATAGACTCCACTCGTGATTTTGAAGATATGTCCTCTTGTTATTAAATAAAATTTAAGAAGAGCGTAATGGAAATGGTAATATAGTTTACTCTACTTCCTTTAAGTTTTTATTTACAACTACTTTTTTCCTGCGGCTAAACTTGCAAAAGGTAATATAATATAAGAGGCGAGGATAAAAGGGAGTTTATGTCCCAAATGACCCCAAGGTGCAATCTATGTCCTTGCCAAATTTTATCGAAATCTGTTTAGCAGCTTAAAGTGAAAAGAACCGAGTACATTTGTACTAACAATCTATAAAAAGTAATGATTTACTCAATTTTCTTAATCTGCAATATTTATGAACTGAGAAAATCTTAAGTAGATATATTTTTTATTAAAGCACTAGCAACTCTACCTCACTCCGCTCGGGTTTGTTCCTAGTTACATTTTAACGTTTAGTGTAGATTTCTCGGAGATGAAATATTTTCCCGCAGTAAGAAGCATGTAAGTAAGAAGTATATGTTGACCCGGATAACTAGCTACCATCATACCAAATTTCATTAAAAGCCCTCCAGTGTTTTTTCCGTGATGCGGTAATAGACAGACAGACAGACAGACAGACAGACGGACGGACGGACGGACGGACGGACGGACGGACGGGCGGACAGACAGACAGACAGAGAGACAGACAGACAAAAATTCAAAAAACTATAGATTCGGCCTCTGTATCGATAATAATGTCTATTTCAATAAGATTTTCCAAAAAATATTTAATTTACAGATTCTGCTTGATTACAATTTTATTATGTGTATAGATAAGATTTATTTTTTAGGATTAACTTTTTTATAAACTTATACATTATATATTGTAATATAACATTTCTAATTCCCATACTACTTGCAATGTAATACAAGGTAATCTACTTAATTAGCACTCTATTTACCATTGCAAGTCTTTGCCGGATGGGACAATGCCTGTCGGAAATGTAAACAGGATGTCATCGACACACCTGTTTCATGCGCTGTAGCTGCCAGAGACGTCATTGCCTTTTATATCTCAATATAAAAGTATTAATGATGTCATATATATCTTCTACAAATCATTATTACTATGTATATTTAACATATTATATGCAAAATATAAAACTGAGTATTATTATACTGGTTGCGAGTTTGATTTTGTTTGAGTCTAATTGGTGTATACTTTATGTTGAACATTGAATTTAGTAATATTAAAATTAAAATGAATTTAAAACAAAAATATAATACACTAAGAATAAATTGCTACTAAAAGCGTTTAGACTAAATTAGTATGTAGCTTAAACGCTTATTTTATTAAATTGTACTAACGGTTATTAAAATATTTGTGCTTTGGATACTGCACACTTTGAATGAAATGAGCTATTACTGTGTAATTAAGAAACCACGGAGAATATGAAATTAATGAGAAAATTCTAAAGAACATGCCAACCGTTATAACCTTTGACTTTTAAGGAATCTTCGTCTATCTGGGACTTCAAGTCTCATACCCGAAAAATGAGGTTCTTTGTACTCACATAATTTATACTTTAATAAGACGATGAGGCAATGATTTCATTTTCTGATATACTTTTGTTATTTTGAAAGTCTTAGTAATATTTATTATAAATGTAAAAGCGTATTTAAAAAAGTTTCGGGGTTTTTCGCGGATTTATTTTAATGTTTTGGTCCCAACTTTGGAAATGCTTTACAGTAATATGGTCACGAGATATTTTCAGGTATTTGACGTCTCCAAAATTATATTTAATACAAATTTACAAAAATATGGAAGTAACGGAAATGACACCGAACTACCTTAAAATTTTAATATTTTATATTTAAATTTTCTAATAAGTTTTAAAACTGTAGCGGTTTAAAAATTAAAATCCAAAATAGTTTAGGTTACTATAATAATAATGCTTAAATTTTATTAAAATAATATTTTTATTTAAAATCTCCAATATTCGCGTAATTCTAAGAAAGCATTATGCAAAAGGGATAGTTTGCATTTTGGTGAAGAGCATTACTTAACTAACATCTTATAAAAAACAAAAAGGTTCTAAGAAAGATGAAAATTTAGACGTGTATGTTGAAATGATTGCATAGATTTTAATTATATTTACTTTATCTATTAGCAGTTGTAACCCAGTGGCAACGCGCTCACTTTGAAAACCAAGTGCAGGTACAAATCCCGGGTCTCGCATCTCTAATATCTATGTACAAATTATTTCCAATATGATTACCAGTTCTCTTACGGTGAAGGAAAACATCGTGACCGGGCGGAAACCTGCATGTCTGAGAGAATCTAGTAAGTTTTTGAAAGACATGTAAAGTACGCCAACCTAAACTTGGCCAATGTGGCGGATTATGTCATGATCTCCCTCATATTGGGAGACCAGACTCAGCAGTAAAACGTTATAAAGTGTTGAATATAAAAATTACTTTATACTTCAATCAGAAATTAAATAGCTATTTGTTCTCATTAGACGTACCTAGTACAGAATGTACCTACAAGATAAAATTCAAATAATTTCGGATGCTAGAGCATATATTTTAAAGTAACGTTAAATTTTCAAATCAAAACAGACATATTTTATATGGAAACTAAAAAGATACTGCGAGAAATAGCTTTAAGGCTGGCCGCATAGGGTTGCTGATTCGATTTACCTTCGGAATACGTGAGCTTCCGAAACGAATGTCAAGAATTGTTTCCGAACAGAAAATAAAAGAACTAATGCCCCATGCAGAACACTTTGTATGAAATGAGTGTATTCGGGTGCCCGAATTTGAAAAAGAAATCAAGAATGGAATCAGGAGACCGTGCGTATGCGGCCAACCTTAGAATTTCACTTTGAAAAAACGTTCTCATAGGATAGCAATTATACTCTTAGAAAAGTCTGTAGATATAGCTCGATGTATAATTCATTTTTATATATTGATAGTTGAACAAAAGTTTTCTGAATTTCCCGAACCATTTAAAATAACACGAAATGTCAATTCGTCCGATAAAAATAGGATGAATAAAACATATATTATTCATACGACTATTCCCGGTTTGTGATATATAAATACAACATTTTTTATGTTCCTATAAAAACAAGCCTAACTTATAAGGTTATAAAGATTTTTAAAATTATTTATAGTTAAAATATTAAGTTCCGAATAGGATCGAAGGGACTTAAATTAAAAAAAAAACATTAAAGTCTGCTATAATAAAAAGCGTTAGAATTATATCGTTTTATTATGACTCAGTAATATCTCCTAAAAACCAATTTTTAGCTAGGTTATGGTGCTTTCCTTTTTCGTAGACGTAAAACTCCCGAACTTCAAAGTCTTTATGACTTGATAGGTTGGGAACTTAAAATTTTAATTTTTAGCTCGGTAGTTTAAGGTGATTTCTTTTTTTTTCACACAGAAATCTCTACACAGTAAATTTTATTAGAAAACAAAAAAAATGTAGATGTTCATGAACAACCGAAAATAGTCGGACGAATAATTTTTTTCTTAGTCATCCGATTAACGGACGAATAGCAACAGATACAATAAAATATATACTGACGATTATTATTATAATAAACATAATCTCATGTCAGGCTGCAAGCTATAATCTGGAAAAAGCTGTTGTACCATGCAATATTTTTTTTTAAGATTCTGGGAGTGTCAAATGTTAATGCGAAGATTGTTATGTATATATGTTTGTTACTCATACACGCTGAAATAGCTACACGGATATGGATGAAATTAAGTATACAGAGACTATGACCTGGAGTAACACGTAGGGTACTGTTCAGGACGCATCAATACGTCACTAAAATTCCTAAGATATAATTAAACTTCTAAGAAATCTATTGTTAACTGACACCTAGGGGTGTCCGCGGTCGTGCAGGTATTATTAATTGATAAAACCTCACCACAAAGTCACAGTAAAGAGCAAAATAATATGCGAAAGCACTTATCTTAACTTTGTACACCACTGAACTAACTAACATCGTAGATATTAGTTTACACGCAGGTCAATTTTCCGACTCCAGCACTAAACCAACAAACTTAGCATAGTTAACGAACTCGATAGTGTATGTTACTCATTAGCTACTACCTACATTCAAACACACGTTGCAACAGAAGGCGATGCCTAACTTTATCTTGAACCGTCGTAATATTGTATCAGTGTATATTTAATTGCCACGAAATTTCCATAAAACTTGCTAGAATTTGCCCGAGCGTGCGAAATTAGCGAACATATTTTGCGTGGAATAATGCGAAAGAAAACCGCATGAAAACTTGAAAACACACGTTTTCCCAGACATAAGAATAATCTAGATCGATTTTTCGCCCCCGAAAACTCCCCACACACCAAATTTCTGCGAAATCGTTAGAGCCGTTTCCAAGATCGCCGGTATAAATAAATAAATATACAAGAATTGCTCATTTTAAGGTATTAGATTATAAACACAGCCTTTACAAATTTTTGTATATAATATGACTGTTATTTGTATAACCATGAAACCTTATAAAACACATTACTTTCATTTTACGATCCGTATTACATAATATGATAACATAAGTATTTTACAGGAAGTGGTCAAGCAACAGATGTGGACGTACGGATATCGGCGCCTAGTTGGGTGGCTCGCGGGGGATCGGCTACATTGCGCTGCCTTCATCAAGTACCACCACAACTACTATACAAGGTTGAATTCTTAAGAGCTGGATCGAAGCTCCTTCAATATGTGAGGGAGAGGAACCCGCCGTATACCAACTATACCTTCCCAGGAGGGAGACTTAATGTAAGTTATCTAATACCTTCATAGATTTACGCAAATATTTGACGTTTTAAGTAAAACTTTCTTTCGCGCGATTTTTTTTTTATTTTGAATTTGGTTCCTGCATTTCGAATGTTGTTACGGATAGTATCTATCCACATCCATATCCACAAAATTATACAATTCTTTTTCAGAATAAATCCACGAAAGAGTCCTAAAATATAGTTTTAATTAAAATGTAAGTTAAATTTAAGCTTAATAACGTTTGCTTAATAACGTTATTTTCAATGCAATGCCAACCTATGATTAAGCCAATGCTTTACTTAGATTTAGTGCAAATTTTTGAGGACTTATCTCGTTTTATTGATAATTAAAAATTAGTGTTTTGAGTTATTTCATACTTTTTACAATCATATACTATATTAAAGTAGATGCAAGTATCAAGAGATAAATATACTCAACATTCACTTATGTATTGATTTTTAATTTATTTGACTTTAGAATAAACCAGCACGTTTTATACATTGTAATAATATTCATAAGCTTCCAAAGAGTTACATTACAAATTAAATGCTAATTGAAAAGTTTATTTATGACCAGAGGCTAACCTTCGCTTTACTCGCGTTCGCGTTCTTAGAAAAACAAAAACAAATCAATCCCACGGGAACCGTACATTTTACTGGGATAAAAAGTAACCTATATGTTATTCTGATGTATGAGCTATATTATTATATAGTGCGTGAAAGAGTTACAAACATCCATACATCTATTAAACCAGACATACATACATCCTCACAAACTTTCGAATTTATAATATCAGTAGGACGATATCACACAGTTATTTTTTATCAAAATAGTAGGTACTATTAGAGGTTATGTTTTAATAAGTTAGCCAAATCTGAGAATCAAACACTCGAAAGTCCCGGTGACGTACAAAAAAACTGCATATTTTTTTAATTGTTTAATGAAAAATTTTGGTTATGACTAAAAGAAATAACCTTGTACGAATTTACTAATAAAAATTGCAAGTATTGTAAATATTCAACTTTACCTCTGTTCTAAATAAAGCTATTTGCAAAAAGTTTTCCTTTGAAAATTGGACTCATGCATTTAAAATACATATATGCATGGAATGTAACAAAATAATTATTACTAAGCAAAACGTAAATTTCAGAAACTTTTCGTTATACTGAAAGTGTACACATTAAACATTGCATTGCGGTAAATGTTGTGAATTTGGATAAACCGAGGTGATAGAGAATATAAAAATATAAACAGATTTTCAAAATACAGGTTTATAAAGTAATTTAGAAATAAGTTTTTGTGGCAATTCTTACCTGCATTATTTTGATTTCTTTTTCATAGTGGAATAAAACATATTCATAATATAACTTGCTCTACCAGCGGTCGCGGGTTCGAGTCCCGCTGGAGGCTTTCATTTGTGTGATGAGCACGAAAGTTTGTACTTCAGTCATGGGTGTTTATATTTATAATATGTAATATGTATTTAACGGTATAAATTTGTAGTGTATCGACTATCGGGTATCCATAACACAAGCCTCGTAGCTTGCCATGGAACTTGATGGTGCTGTGTGTTAATGTCCCCTAAAAATAATTCCCCTTTTGAATTCTCAATTTTTACGTTTGAAAAATATATCAGGTTTGTAAGTCCGCTAGGAAGCTGCCGCGCGCCGTCTCGATGAAAACTATAAAGAAAAAAATAATAGCACAAATATAATTTTTTGATATAAAGAAATATTATAAAAACGAAAAAACTTTTAGAAAGACATTTTGAAAGAATCTTAGAAAGTACAAATGCAACAATTTAGAATTTTGGCAGTCCTTAAAAAGAACCTAATCTTTATTTTATTTTATTAAATGACTTTTGGAAATTCAATCCCTAAAAGGGGTTGAAAATACGAAAATTCATTTTTAAACTACGCCGGCATTGAGCTACGAACAAATACTAGTATAAATAATATCAGAAATGAACTCAAACTTTTTGAGAAATAAAGACAATATTTACAAGAAAAGTCTGTTTCAGATGTCTCTTGTTACGGAGAATTCTATTACGCTCGATAATCTGGACCCGACCGCGTCGGGGCTATACTGGTGCGAGGTGTCTCTAGAGACTCCGATATTTACTGCAGCCTCCCCACCTCATCAGCTAACTGTAGTGTGTAAGTGGGTTTTAATTACTTAGATAATTATTTATTAGCCACCTGACCTGGTTTCTTCTACATCTTCTCACTACACACGAACGTACATATGAAGATTGTAAAACACACAAAAAAGTAATAAAATATAATAATTTTTGAGATCACGTGAATAATTGATATCTATACTACTTATAAATATGAAAGTGTTATGCCCGATTTCACCAAAGTCACCTAAGTTTAAGGGATCCCCTAAGCATAGTTAGGGGGCTATTAGGGGACAGTTTCTGTTTCACCGACAGTTATGGGTCACCTAAATGTTAAAAGGCCCTATAAATTTAGGTGCTCGAATATGGGTATCGATGGTAAAACGAAATTTAATTTAAGGGCTAGTTTAGGGGAATTTTAAGCTAGGGATCCTATACGTAGGTGGTAGCTTATGGGTTGTTGGTGAAATCGAGCATTAGAGTTTGTTTGTTTGTCCTTCTTTCACGTCGAAACGGAGTAACGGATTGGCGTGATTTTTTGTGTAGAGATAGTCGGAGGGCTGGAGAGTGACATAGGCTACTTTTTACCGCGGGAGTTTACCTAATCCCCACGGGAAAACACTTTATAATACAATCCAAAAAATATTTATGATCAGAATTACTTGAAACTTAGTATTAATGCTCTGTAATAAAATTAAATAGATATGTGTTTTAGCATTTTTCGTAATTCATCCTATTAGGGGGTAAAATAGTAGATAAAAGTTGTATAAAACTACTTTTTGGTTTTTTGTTTGATATATTTACATATACTTAAAAATCCAGTAGAATTACTATTAAAATAATAACAAATCTTGGTTAAAAATATAATAATCTTAAACTATAGTGAACTAAGATATTAAAAAATATAATAGAATTCTGATATCAAAACTCTACCTAAACGCCTTTATTAGACGACTGTATGGATAGACTATGCCAGTATGGTTAAACAAATATGTATTATTTATTATTAGATATTACATATTTAGTTTATTTTTCTAGCAGTCAAAATAATGAACTAAGATTACACATACTTGTAATATTAGGTTAAAATCTAAATATTTTCACTTCACCTTAAAATTTCCCACGTGAAATTTTGATTAAATGCAAGCACATCTCCCCAATAAGCTTAAGCGACTTATCGTTAACGCGAAGCTCAAGGCTGAATTCCGCCTTAGCTGGAATATTTGGATTTAATTTTAGAGTTCCGTACTGGATAGGAAGCAAAATCTATTATATATTAGTGTTTGTATGCCTACCTGTTTGTTTGTTTCTTTGTTTAGCCTCTCTTTATTTTCTTTGTCTCATTATTAGATTATTATCTGTTGCCTAACTGTCGTGAGGTTCAATTATAAAATGAATGATTTTAAATATAAAAATAATATAAATAATTTTTGAATTTTAGATATATATGTAGATTATATTAGAGAATAGATAGTCAAAAAGGTATTAAGTGACCGTTGAGAAATTGTCTTTTTTGCTTTTTAATTCATTACCTACAACTCTCCATCAACACAAAAAAGAAAGAAAGAATTTATAATGTAGCGCGTCACGCGTGTCCTTTCTAATGAGATGCTTATTTCTCATACTGCATTTAATTTTGCAGTTGTTTAATTATACATCATTTCCATTTTTTGACGTGAATATGTCTTTAAATTTGCTACCTTATGGGGATAATCCAAAAAAACCTCATGATAACAAAATCGGGGGATATAGATTGGCGTTGTAGTTTTGAATCTATACTCTACATCCAAAATTAAATTAAACCACTGGATAGCTAAAGAATCAAAGAATTTATAGCGATAAACGAGAATAGTGACGCATCGCGCGCGGTGGAGGGTTAAGCACCGCCATTTGAGGTTATTTTGCTGCGTATCGAGATTTTCTATTAGTATAACCTTTGACTTGAAGAAGCTACGATGTTCGTTTAGGTTTAAATCGTCAGCTGTCATCAAAATCTATCGATTGTATATAAAACATTAGCTTAAAGTAGTGACAGTGAATATAATAAGGTGTTAGAATAAAAAAATATTATCAAAAATATATAATGTCGGTCTAACGCGTCGAAAAGCCGAAACCAAATACAAAGATCGTATCCGGTTGGAAAGGGCTTCTCAAGAGCAATCGAATATTACCAATAAAACACATGTACACAAACAATATGACCGAGTCAAGCAATTCCGGGAACGTAGAGAATGAAAGCGGTTCAACGACGGTGTTAGTACATCTGCAGCTGGGGCGGTTGAAATTATGCAATTGGATGAAAAAATCGCTTGCCATCATAAACAAAATATGAAAATCCGCGGGACTTCTTAGTGTTCAAATATGATTATGACATACATACATAAATAATATTTTATATAGAAAATATTAGTAAACGTATTCAAGTAAAACACACGGCCGTGTCTATGACACTTCCACACCCCATTTTTTTTAATTTTGAGACTCGAATTGATTATGAAGTACTAGCGGCTAACCTTCGTTTCGCTCGGGTTCGCCCGTAGAAAAACAAAAATAAGTCTATCCCACGGGATCCGTACATTTTTCCAGGATTACTTATATTATTGTAAAATTTCATTAAAATCCATTCAGTCAGTTTTGCGTGAAAGAGTAACAAACATCTACACATCTATACATCCAGACAACCTTACAAACTTTCGCATTTATAATATTAGTAGATAAAGAATGTACATAATATATTTTAATTTATGGCGTGTACATTTATTGTAGTAGACACAATATCCTGGATTCGGGAACGCTCGTTTCACATTTTCCGCCGGAAACCAATTGATTTGACTTTTCTTAGAAGATATAAAATGTATCTTCTTGCTTGCTAAGATTACTTTTTATAATAACTTTTATTGAGGAATTTCTCTGTTTTTATTTGTGTTATGTGTTTATTTCGAAAATAATGGTTACCGATATGTTTCCTTTACAGAAATATACTATATGTAGATTTTGTAATTAAGTATTTATGTATTTTATTATTTTAAAAAATACCTTTAAATTTTTATATTGTATTCCATTTTATATGTGAATTACAATTATTTATTCTTTAACAGATTCACAAAAACATCCACCTATCATAACGTTTGGGAAACCAGACGTGGTCGTGGGGGGGCTCTTACGTGCTAACTGCACAAGTGCACCCGCCGCACCCGCGCCGAGGTTAACTTGGTACATTGATAATGAAAAGGTACTATTTAAATAATATCGTTTCCCAATATTCATTTTTAGGGCTATAGTAAAGTTACATATTTTAACTGACATCCAAAAACTATGTTTCTGTATGTGTTGTTTTTTTTATGTATGTTCACGGTTTCTCGGAGACGGCTTGACGATCGATTTTGCTACTTTAAACTGTATTGTATTAAGGTAAATCCCGATGTAAAGCAAAACAAATCTATTTCAAACATATAAATACATCACAAATTGATATATAATATTTTAACTAATAATTAAAGTTCATACCTTGTCATATTTGCCATTGAGATATTCATATCTTTTTACTTTTTAATGTCTTGAAGTCGGTTTTTATTTTATTTTTTGCAAAGTTTTTTTTATTGTGTGTTTGATTGTTTATGTGTTTGATTGCAAACCCTTATTAATAAATTTTGATCTTTTTGTCTATCCGTTTGATAGGATGACTATCAAATTATTTACCTTTTTTATGAAAAAATATTTAAAGTAAATTGAAAAAAAAACATAATAATATTTTTGTCTTGCTTATATAAAAAGTTTTCATGATAGCAGAACTTTAAATATAAATTATTAAATTGTATGTTATTTCTGTGTGCTTATACGCAGCTTATGTTGAAAATGGATAAACAGACTAAGACAAGATATTTTTCTACAATCGATATCGCTAATAGAAAACATGTATAATGTATATACTCTGGATGTATGAAAATGACATATCTGTGTTGTTTTATGTGGTCATAATTTCCATTCATTTATTCCAATATAATTAAATACTATATTGTTTCTTGTTAGCTAACTATATCGTATGTAGAAATCAATTTATCTATAAAATAAATTTTTAAGAAACTTCCAAAGTAAGTTAGTCTGTTGTATGAGTATATTGATTTAAAAGTATATTCAATACGCAGGTACCGGATGAGTCTATAAGATATTTCTCATATCGCGTCTCGAGCTCAACTAGGAACAAAGGTGGCGGCTACAGACATAGGAAGCATCAGCATAGATATATAGCGCCAGAGTTCAACTACACTGCCAAATATTGGGCATTGGTGAGCGAAACGACACCACCCCCTGCGAACTTGACCAAGCAAAGTAAATGTACCCTGAAAGATGGACAGAGTGAAGATGTTGCTAAAGTATGCGTTTTTGATTATAATTTAAGGAAACAGGTTTTTTTTTTTTGACGACCTTTGTTCCTAAACGATAATAGTAATCTTTTTTTCCTGAAAGAGCTGCTGTTGAATTTTTTACCAGCATATTTACATCAGCTTTCCAATAATATCGTAGTCAAACTATTCCTATATGTGTAGGCGATAATGATGCTAAAATAAATTCGTATTGTCAACATATTAAAATACCTAAAAGAATCGAACTCGTGACTTACTACGTAACAAATAAAAGCAATGATTATTTTCCTCCAGATTCGTGAAAGACCAAGAGAACTTTTGCCTCCCCCAATCTCTCTGTGGGTTTCTATAGCTGAGCTTCGAACACCGGCGCACGGAAAACTTCTTTTAACTTGCACTGCTACGATACCAGATGAAGTGGGCCCAGGGGAGAAATTTGCTGACATTAAAAAACAAACAGTTACAGGTATAAAACAAATTATACTTATTTAATACTATAAGATTTACTTATAAATATTGCCATTTAAATAATTTTTCCTTAGAATGGTATTTATGACTTTATATGTATATAAAATTCCAGTATGCATGCACAATGTTAAAGGTTGAAGATATGCAAAGGTGTAGGTAATTCTTCTCCATGGAAAAGGTTTGGCCGTTTTGATATTTAGTTTTAACGATTTTGATGTTTTTTTGTGTAATTATGGGATCATCTGGATGGTTCTTACCTACAAATGGATCCGGTAGGTGGTGTCCTTGTCAAGATATAAATTATTTTTTTACATTCCGATCAAACGATTCCGACGATAACCAGGTGTTCTGCTTTTCGGTTCGACTAGTATATAATAAAACATATATTTTCTCTATCAGTCTATTTATTTGTGCACAAATAACTTAAACACCACTGATAGATCAATAAAAAATAATTGTGGGTATAGAAATGATTTGTAGTTACATAGTTCAGTTTTTTTCCGCGGTCAATGAAGTTCTCCTAAGCGAAGCCATACTTAGCCAGTTTTTATTTTCAAAACCTTTTCTTTATTTTATTCAGATTATTATTATTATTATGGCAGTACGATATATAATAATAATTAAAAAAATATGTATAATTTCTAGTTTATATAGACGAGTAATTCTATAAAAATATAATCTATTACTGTTCTATTAGAAAACGTAACTCGTGTAAATGAATGACATGGAACCAAAAATAAACTGTATTTTAAAAAGCGCTTGATACATGTCAAGCTTTATATTAGTGAGCAGCTTAATATAAATTATGATAACACTATATTTAACTTAGTTAAACGATTTTAAAAGTTACCAACGTTTTGATAACACAATATCCACGCGCATCGAAAATTACTTTAAACTTTAGTTGCGAACTTCTTGCGTCCATTAAAATTATAACGAAAATCCACAAACAATTTTAAAGCAAACTTTAACTGGAAACTTGGCAATGAGTAGTGGGGCTGAATACGTAATGTTTTATTTCAGTGGCCGTGAATGAACTAAGTTTGAAAAGATCCCGGACAGAAACATCTTACGCCAATGCGACTTCATCTCGCCTACAAAATTACCACGCAGTCTTGATTATCAGTTACGGATTTTTACTTAATGAGCTTCGAAAACCTTTATATTATTAGTAAAATCCTATACGTATTGTTAGTTATCATTTCATCTCGCTCTAACATATTTAAAATTATATTCGATTTTACTCTATCATTCCCAAAGCGACATGTACCTACCACCTAGAAATACAATTTATCTTGTTTTAAGTAATCTAGCTATAATTCCAATATATATTTCTTAGTAATAGTAATGTTTGCCTTATTTTAAAGGTTGAAGGTAGTTAAATTATTTTTTATAAGCCAAATAATCTTTAATAGATCAATGTATTTTGAGCATAATCGACCAGTTCTATTTTATCTGTTTCATTGTAATGTATATAGTCTATAAAAAATCATAAAAAAAGGTTAAATTAGATTTTATTATTGTTTTTAATTTAATATACGTACAGGTATTTTTTATCTTTTTTCTGTGCTTTATGTAAGTAGTCAATTCTCCTCCACTCACGCAACTTCTTTAACAGGGTTAGAATAAGCTTATTTTTTATAATATTATTTACGATCTATAACCATACATAATATGTATAATAAATTGAAAAGTCGTTTCCAGTTTGTGCAATGAATATTAAAATAGTGATTCAGAAAGAAATATTGCTTAAACAGAATAAAGTTCACTATAGAGATTGCATTTGATATCTATGCATGTACAGACATACAGTTTTAAACCTTTTTTGTAAATATTTGAAAATATTACTAAACATTGTTAAGTTTTGTTGGCAACATTGTATAAGTTATAGAAAAATATAAATAATAACGTATGTTTGGACGATGTTTTGCTTATAATTTAACTAGAACAATCGAAGCCTCTATCAGAAGCTAATATTTTTTTAAATAATTTAATGAAACGAAAATTTATGATGAAATATATTTCTCAATTTATAATATGATAATGTGATGCATGTTTCATTCCCATTCTTTATATTACGAAGTACTACGACGATTTTCTCCAAATAAAACGATTAAGACGAGACGAAAAATTTCTAATGATTGCATTTTTTTTAAATAATATTTAAAAAAAATAAGTATGTATTAAACGATTATAGTATATTAGAAGATATAAACAAACATATATGAGAAATTATATCGGCTTACCTGATATTATTAATATATGGATAAAATGATTTCCTTCTGGATGCGAAAAAAATGCTTATTTTTGTATTAGAAAAATATAAGTATATAGACAATTAATGTAAAATTGAAGCAAATAAGTAGATTTCTTCTGTTTGATATGTAACAATTTTAAATGTTTTGAATACTTAAATCAAGTTAGACTACAATTTAAAATAATATTTCAACAAAGCATTTCGATATCGACAACAATGGTATGTTTCGATCAAGTTCGGTATTGCTTCCTATTGAAAATTTCGATTTGCAGCTTACTGGCAATATAGGTTTCATTTTACAAGATCCGCCGAAAGCTTCACAAGGGAAGGAAAGCTTATTTTTAATGAAATGTTTAACTAATATTATCTCGTATCGATTTAAAGAAAATGATTACATCATACAAATGTTGAAAATTTATAATTTTAAGGTTCAAAAGTTTCCATTGTTGTAAAGACTTGAGATTAATTTGTTAAACCATGTACCTATATTGTAAGATGTACATTGTTATACAAAATAGCATAGTTTTCCAGAAAAGCTATAACTACTAATAAGGTCATTCTGACTGACGATGATTCAATTTTCTAAACACAAAGCCTATTTGTGGCATTCATATATTTTAAAATTTTATTATAAATCATAATTTTACACATATTTTTAAATATTATCATCCATACATCTTCGGAAATCCATATTTAACCATCGATCAAAAAAGTACTAACTACACAATCTCAAGCAAAAGTTCTCTTAAAACGGTTACGAAATATGTTTAGGTAATTATTTCAGTTGAAATAAATATACAAAGATGTAAATTGAACCTTAAACGCGATGTTTAAAATTCTTTTCACAAATAAAATAAATGAAATAAAAGCGCGCTCAAATGTTCAAATGAGCTCTAATTCGGTGAGGACAATTTTTTCCCTGATTGTATATCTAGTACTTTTTTTATCGATGTATTTAAATAACAAACTTGAGCTTACACGTAAAAAGATAAAATGGCAAGTTGTACATTTATCAATTATTTATAGTCATTGGTAAGCTTCTTGTATTTCAGTTTGCGATAGTGTGATAAAAATATAATTAATTTAAGTATATTCGACGTGAATAGATATAAAAGCATATAGTTATAATTGCCGATAAGGGTTAGACTTATTAACAGTATGGACTCTTATTCGGTGTGACATGTCTTCCTGCAGCTCTTTACACTGACTTGTAGAGAAATTATTTGTTAGGCTAAATGATGTGATAAGTCAAATGTGTGTAAAGCGAAAATATATTTTGAAATAGATCAGTGATTGTGAAAATTATTTATTGCAAAGTATAGAATAGATGTAAGAAATATACTATGTAACCAGCAATCGCTTTATATTATTTTTAATAAAAAATATTGTTTTTGTTAATAAATAAAAGTAATTGAGATGTATTTTATTGACTGAAATCTTTACGCCAGTCAAGAGATCAGAACTATTTCGTGAATCAATTGTTTCAGACATCCAATAAAACAGATGCTGTACGAAATAATACCATTTTCGACCCAAAAAGCTCGTGCCACCTACACTCACCTGTCAAAATATTTTCATTTCAACGAATACCAGAACTGAACATTAAATTTCGGTTATTATTTGTGAATACAATCATAGCTGGTGAATATAAAGCGATTGTTGGTGTAAGGAATATTTTTGTTTATCCTCGGGCCATTTTCAAGTAAATAAAATAACATTTACTTTCATGGTTGTACAATGTGGTAAAATAAAAGCTTTTAAAGCACACTTTGTTTTATTTGTTTTCTTTTACCAAATGATCTATTTACTATACAAATACTGTAAATAATTAATCAATGTTTATTTACTAAATTCAACAGTTACAACAACAAGTAAAATAATAAAGTCAACTGTTCAGTACAATATTCTCTAGTTTGTCAATCAATTTTCTTTATTTGTTTAGTAGCTATTGATGAGCTTTAGTTTTATCAATAAAAAGAATTTGTAAATAGATTATATTGGTCTTGGAACAAAATAAATTATAATATTTATAAAAACTCAAAATAATATTATATAATGCCAAATTACTATTATTTTACATCCCCAAAAATTATATGCATATAAAGTAAAATTAGGCTCATTAAGAACTTTATCTTGTTAATATTATATTTCCAAGCATTTAAAAAAATAGATAACTGCGACCAGAATAGGAGAAGAATATTCACTCAGTGCAAGAATTAGCCCTCGACTCCATGCAATAGATAATGCCAGTTAGATATTTGAAGAAACGTAAACCTTTTTAATAGCTTATAATTGGAATGCTAAAAGCCTCAAGAAAAAATTGTATAGTTATTAATAATATCTCACACAATAATTAGCGAGATCGTGATTTTTTACACAGGTAGAGTAACATAGGGTTTTTATTTTATTTATTTTAATAAGGTTTGCTAGTGGTTATTACATGTTTTACAAGAATAGATTTAAGTTAAATAATTAAAATATAGCCCAATTATGCATAACCGTTTAAAAACAAACATAACTTGGTTGTGTTCGTTTTTACAATTATGATTATTTTAAAAACATAGTAATTAATATTCTAGATTTTTATCCCGATATATCAAGTAGTTCCCGACTCAATTATGTCCCGATACGTAGCTTACAGAGGTAGACAACAACCAAGGGATTGGTTTCACAATTCACTCAGCACCCGTAAGCAACCCCCATGGTACTATCTCCTAGGATCACACACGTAAACCTCCTTCTACATGGATTTTTAACTTTTACCCCGCCTAGATTACCGGACTCTAGTTAACAACAAAGTAAAGATACATTTAAGAGGGGAGAGATTAGGTAAGAAACGAAACTTATATATAATAATATTTATTAACTAGCAGAACCCGCGGCTTGGCCCACGATCAAACTATGAAAAAAATAAACTTTTTCGCAATACATACTTTATTACTTGCAAAAATAAGTTCGTGTAAGTTTTATTATTTCTTAAAGGTATATGGAAAACAAATTTAATTGTAGCGATCGTAACTCAAAACATCCAGTATCTTAAAAGATGTTAAGCGTATATTCTGTAAATAAATTTACACTTTAGGTATTTAGCAAGCTCCACTACCTGTATTTTTTGCACATTTTTCTACTCCATCTTTCCAAAGTTAGAGGAAGAGAGCACTCTCTTAAGTCTACTCCTGCTACTTTTAAGGACTGGCCCCGAATTATATAAAAGGTCATTGCAAAGAAAACTTTAAGAAAGAATTACAATAGATTAAATTCAAAGGCGTAGTCAGAAATTATCAGTGAAAATGATTCCCTCGAGCACATCTGGCAAACATAGTGGCCACTATAATGTTTAATGAATTAGTCACATTCTAATCTCGTTACATAGCTTATCCGACTTTCTTATTGCAGACGTGCCAACCTTCAGAAGGAGGATATAGATAGCAAGATACTCTCTAGCTAGGCTCTTTCTCTCGCGCTCTAAGTCGGTTATATCGGTTATAGTTGTCTGCACTGCTGTGACCAGCCGAAAAGATTTACATAATTTTCCTTTTAATTCGGATTAATTTCCGTTCTTTATTTTATATCCCACACAGTAAGTGTGAACTTACAGACGACTTGAGCCATGTTACTCTATTGATATATATTCAGCAAATCAAACTTCACCGCCCAGTTTTACCCAATTAGGGGCTGAATTTAAAAAAAAATCTACAATACATGTTTTTTTTTAATTATGTTGAAGAGCATTAATACCAAGTTTCAAGTAATTCTGATCATAAACAATTTTTTCCTCATATCAACAGCACAAACCCCTTTTGACCTCTTAATAGATGAATTTCGAAAAAAAGATATTTGTATTGTTTTAGTTTTCATTTTAAAGGTAAATAACATTTTCTGTGCATCAATTACAGTTTCATATGAACTGTC